CTGTCCGTGTACCTTAAGGAACCTTTTTGCAAAGCAAAAAGTTGCTGCACCAGGATGTTGCTGAATTCTGATGCCTGTTTTGCAGAACAAAGGGGAGAGGAACCCTTTGATCAATAGTGAAAAGATACAGTGCTGAAAAAGCATTACATTGTCTTCCTTTCTAAATTAAAATCGTTCCTTTTCTAATTGGGCTTTGGGCCTTCAGAGAAAACATACGTGTGTGTGTGTGTGTGTGTGTGTGTTATTCTCAAACTCAATCTTTGTTATTCAACTGGTCACCAGATAATTTCTTTTACAAGAGAGGGGTATTTGATTTCGCTGTACACTTGCTCCTGGGAATAAAGAAATGCAGTCAGAAGTAAATTGCTCTGCAACGGCTACATCTGTATAAGCTTCAGTTGCTTTATCGTTGAGTGGAAGGAGGCAGAGTAAAGCTTCCTGACCCACAAAAATGAGGAACAACAGGCTGAACCATGAAACTCTCGTGTACATCACATCTTCACTTCCTTATACACCTTCCTCCCACGTTCCTTCTCCCAACCTCTGTCACAGTGCATTATGCTTGTATATTCATCTCTCACCCTCCGCCATGTGTTTTTTTTCATGCTGTACCCTGCAAACATGTATTTTATAAAAAAAAAACAGTTCTTTCTATCTCCTTTTCATCCGTGTATTCTTGTCGTTTTCACCTGGCAACCCCACCCACACTCCATCCAGCAGCAACCCATCTCACCCTTCACCCTCTAGTTGTTTCCTGATTGGAATTTGAAAGCCAAGGCTAAGTCAGTGTAGATGTATGGGCCAGCCTGCCATATATACCGACCAATTCGAGGGCTTCAACAACTGTGTGTGTGTGCGTGTGTGTGCCATGCATATTCGTGTGTGGGGTAGTAAACAGGTGTGCATTTGTGGGTTAAGCGAGGGCTTTGTTCCTCTTAAGCAAGTGGGTCTCTATGTACTGCAATATTTCTGTGCAGCATTTGTGGTTGCACGCCTGTGTTAATATCTGTCTGGTTACCAGCACATCAGGCTACAAAATACACACACACACACACACACACACACACACGAATATACATACTTAGACTGGTCTCTGAATTCATTTAGAAAATTGTCCTTTATATTCGTAGATGCATACAAATTGGAAGCGTGTATGCAAGTGCATCACTGTAATGAAAATGATTTATAATGAAGATTATCTGGATTAGGATTACATGTAATATTTTTAAATTGAGAATGAGGTTAGGGATACTCTCTCACATCATAATTATTATTAGAGTGCATGAATATTAAAAAGGGATTGTCATTTTAATTTTATTTCAGAAATTGAATAGCGAAACAAATGTAGAAGTAAATGGAATGGTCTATTAGATTTTTATGAAAGCACGCTGGTGTTTCACAGTGAGAGCAACTAATGTGCTTCTCATGACATGTCAATCTCACTCAGGCTCAAAGAAAATCTTATGGCAACATTTACACTGATTGCAATATTAATACAATGATTCAGACATTAAATTAAAGAAGTAGCATTTCTTCATGACACAAAATAAAGTCAACAGTGTCACCTTATTGCATTGTAACTTAACAGATAACCAACACACTGTACTGAGAAAACTTGAGGTAGGAGAGGTTCACTTGTAATGATTAAAAAACAACAAATCTGTGCAGCACAACAGAATTGAAGCAGAATTAGTAGCAGTGGTTATTTTAATGTCATGAAAATCTATTAAAAGCTAAATTGAGCATAAAGTGGACAAGAAGGACAGCACAAATTACTTTTCTGTTTTTATGTTAATGCATATTTTAAATGGCTATCATTGTAGAGCTGGCAGTTGCAGTGGAGTTACAGTATGGCCATACGTTTTCAGTTACTTTGTCTTGAGAAGATTTGAAAACATTAAGTCATCTAGAAGTTCCTGTTCGCTTTAAACATCCACCACTCTTTTCTGTTCACAGTCGATTGTGGAGTGAAGTGGAAATGAATAGCTTAATGGCTGCAGGGTGACTCAGAGTTTATTCAAGGAGCTAGATAGTGAGTACTCTGCCTGTTTTCATCATCAAGCAGGGGGTCTCATGCAGCATATGGAGCAGCAAGCACAACCCTGACCTTGGTAAATGTACAGATGGAGAGACAAGAAAGCAGAGAAACTGGCTGGACAGTCATTTTAGTGTGTTTAATGGGGGCATGTTTCCATGTTTTTGGTGTGTACATTTATTTATTTATATGTTTGCAAATGTGTGGTTTTGGTAACATTTTGCCCAGCTTCTCTGATTAGAAATGACTATCAGTGACACTGGCAATCTGTCACTAACAAGCTTAATTTCTCACAGGTTGTGTTTTATGCACTGAGTCAGGTTCTTTTACCACCTCTGTAGCATCAAATGATGTCTTTGTTTATGCTTCATTGCACCACTGCTTCTCAGTTTGACACCTAGCTTCTTATTTCTCACCATCAGTAATGGTTTCCAAATGAGATGTGAAGGATAGGCAAATTAAATAATGCTGTCGACCGTAGGTTTATTTTTCTTTCTCATGAGCACTCTATTGAGAACACATGTCGGTCACTGGAGACCGTTATCTGACAGTATGTCTCCATTAACCCCTGTAGACTCTGCTACACAGAGAAGACATACATATCCATAATATGATGGTTTTTCATACCGTCCATCTTTGAACTGATTCACCATGCCTGCTCGAGGTGTGAAAATGATTTACAGGCCTAATCTAAATGCCATATTTGTCGCCTAATACAGCTGCCAGACTTTCTGTGAAAAATAACTAGATGAAGACGATTTGTAGATATAATATTAGTTTTATACAGCGGTTTTGTGTGTGGTCAGATTCATGTCAATTCCATATTGAATATGATGCACAGTTTGTAATATTTGTTTGTATCAAACTATAATTACTAAAGCAGGTTGCTGACTAACTTGTTAAAATGATGATAAATCTTATCCTTGAATAATGCTCTTTTTAATTGGCTTGTAATGATGTCCTTTTTGCTGTGTATGGTTTTTGGTAGTTGGTCTGACTCAAGGACTCAAGGTCCGATTTAACATCTTGCTTAGCTTTCCAAGGACCCATATTTGTATACTGTACCAGTCATAGATTTAAGTCACTGTCCCGTACATAAAATGCAGAATAGTGTATTCTGGTTTATTGTATGAGCTTTCATCAAAAAAAAAATCAGCACACTCTGCAACTCTCAATTTTGTATGCCCCACCTCCGTCACATATTGTGTGCCAGTTATCCTACTGTGCAGAGTGTTACAAATAAAAAATTAAAACACAGTATTTTAGGAAATAAGATTTATTTTAATAGTGCCATGTTTTACACAGCTCCCACCAAGTTCCACAGGAAAATTGGATGTGTGTGTACCATACACTGTGTACCTATAAGTCTGAAGTGTGTGTTTGCACATATGCGTGCATGTCGGAGTTGTGAATAGAATCAGAAAGCGACTGGGAACCAGTTTGTCCTGCAGAACCATGACATTATCATCCATCACACCAACCAACACCCACCTCAGTTATGCTCTATTATCCAAGGTGTGACCACTTCTCCAAACCACACAAAGTAAATACTGCAGATTTGTTCTGCTTTGATTTTCTTGGCCGCAGCGTCTCATATTTGTAGGAGGGCGCACCGCTGTTTGTTGAATCCAGTTTGTCAGGATCATCACTGTCAGACTTCACATCGTGGGGAGGGACGTGTGATTACATAGTATCTGACAGGGTTGTGTGTTATGCATTGTAATAGAGAGATAGATAGACACTTTACACTGTACCATACATGGTCTGTTTGGATTATTGTGGTTCACTGAGTTTTTCATAAATACTGAAGCAAAGCAGATAGCTCTATAACTCCCGGTAGAAGAGCTATTAGGGTTGTTCTTATCGATTTACAATAGTACAAATTAAACCCAACAAGATTATTTAATGAATCTAACTGGTTCATCAATTAATGGTGCCTAAAGATGTATTAGCTAATACAAGAAAGGACACAGTGGTCTGTACAAACCACAACCTAATTATACTAATGTTAAGAAAGGGACATTTGAAAATGAATAAAGCATTCTCTCACAGGACAGTTTCCACTCTCTATCTGAATTCGATGCTGCATGTTTTTTGGGGGTTTTTTTGCCACAAAGAATCGAAACGCAAAACTTACGTTGAACCATGAGTCATGCATTCATGTTATGTTTGTGTATACAAACCCCACAAATGGTAATTAGGTAAAGGTTTCAATTGAGAGTAGCAGGAACACTACATCTAAATATTTAAACAACTTCTCTGTTGATAAATGAGGTTTTATGAGCTAGTTTCAATGTGAAAACTCCAGGTGCTCAGACTTCCCTAACAATGAATGAAAGTAAGCAACTTTACGGTGCAGGAATATAATAGAAGAACGGGTCAGCAGTGCATTATAGAACTGATGTTGCATGTATATATTTATGCAGCGACCCATGCAAATGGGAAGGGAGGGCCCACTTCCTCTGTAGGGCAGGGTCTCAATTTTAGTGAGTGCTTGTACGCTTTTGTGTCTTCCACAAATAGTCTTGACTTTACTCCAGATTCTCTCCTTTCTTACAATGTCGTCTTTTACACTCCTCTTTTATCCATGCTTTTTATTTTTCTTAGCTCTAGTTCCCTGTGCCCTGTCCTCTCTGCCCTCACTGGTTCTCCAGTTCCCTTTCTGCTGATGTTTGCACGAAGGAGCGGAGAAAAAATATACTGTAACAATGAGGGTCTGCTGTGCACATAAGGGAATCAGTCATACTTGAATGCAAAATAATTACTCTTATTGCACAGAGATTAAAGATGCACTTGCCTGAGTGCCTAATGGAGGTTTAAGTCATTCAAGCACTCACTGTCTGTGCAGCTCTCTCTTTACCCTCTCACTCTGGCCTTAAAAAACTGTTTTCTTAGTCAAGCTGAAAAGGATCCTTAAGTGCAGTCGTACTGATGTTAACTGACCTCTGAACTTTTATCTTCTCAGGTACTGAACCCTGCCTGCTCTGACACCGTGACTCCAGACAGACATAGTGGCTGACAGACGCTGAAAAAGAAGTGGGCAGATCAACAGATAGGGAGGACAGAGGGAGGTGAGTGAAATGAATAACGAAATCCTTCCTTATCTCCGTCTAAATATCTCTGTATAGTATCTTGCACTCTGCGCTCTGTAAACAATGAGCCACCAATCCTTCAAAAGACCTTCATATACAGAGTGGCAAAATCAGACAGAAAACAAGAGAAGCCCTGTAGCAGAGAAGGGTTGGTTTACACCCCTGCTGAGCCCAAGACTGTGGGTTTGTCTGTGTGTGTGTGTTTGTTCATGTTTATTTACCATATCCAGTCTGAGTTCATGTGGATTCTGTACTTTGTGCTAAATTTTCCCAAGAAAACCATCAAGCCAGAGATATTTTTTGTTGAGAGTTACAGATGTCAGAGGAGTCAGATGTTTAGAGCCATTTTCAGACATATGTGTAGCAAGTATATATCTACTGAGGAAAAAAAGAGAATACCAATACAGATCTGTCTTTTTCCCTATATGTAAAGCACACCATCAATGTTCAAAGGTTGTCAGAAAAGCATTTTGTGTCATTGATTTTTCATGTCATATACAGTGAACAGAAAATTTGCCACAAAATGACACCCAGTCCAGTACAAAACAAAAACTACACCAAATTGTGCCTCCTCACAACACGTGATGAGTTCTAGTTCAATACTGTCCACTGGCAGGTATTTTGCCAAGTCAGCAGACATCACAAACATTCCATGTCATACATATTTATGGAATATACATGTTATTCATTTTGACAATTGAATGGATCATCTTACATTTGATGTGTCAAACTATGGAAGAATAATTAGAAGTTGTGAAGAGTTTGACATTTTCACTAAGAATCAACTCATCAATCTTGATCAGCAAGCCACGTGCAATTTGCATGAATGAATGGGAAATTCAAATCTGTGGTGAACAACAAACTACTTTGTTCAGAGATTTTAACTTATTGTTTTGAAAGAAATAATTCTCACCCTGAGCACCCTGGTAGCTCACCTGGTAGAGCTGGCACTCTGTGTACCAAGGCTGAGACGCTTTGCTGCATGTCATCCCCTCTCTCTCACCCCTTTCCTGTCTATTTTGAGCTGTCCTATCAATAAAGGCAAAAAGATATTTGAAAAAAAAGAAAGAATTGAGCCAAAGCCAATGAGAAACCCTGTACACACCTTTCGGTTAGACACATTCGTTTGATCACAGTCGGTCAGGGGATGTGGTCCGAGTGGTTGCAGAGTTCACTCACTGCTTTGGTAAACTGCCTACTTATGTATGTAAAGTAGCTTTTATGCAATTCACCCTGTGGCCTTACCCACTATCATCTCTGTGGGAGTGTTTTGGGGTCTGCGTGTGTGTGTTTATGTGTAAATAATTGATTGCTGTAGAGGTTTTAGTGGATCGCTGGTGATACTGAACCAGGCAGAAAATGCTGCTCCACTGCTCTGCTCCACAGTGTGCATAACTTAACTATAACATGTCCGCTGCTGCTGCCGCTCAGTGGGCTCTCTGTTGTCTGAGGTGGCTTGTTGGTGTTAAGTCAATTTGGTTTCTATTAGTGCTGCAGAAAGGATTAGTCGGTGAATCACAGAATCACAGAAAATCCACACAAACATTAATTGACAACAACTTTGATGAGAGATTAGTATAATTACTGCTTCTCTGTTCTATAACACTATAAATTGAAGATGTCACTTTGAGCTCTGGTAAACTGAGTGATGCGTGAGCATTTTTCAAGATTTCTAAACGCATTACAGAGGAAAATTGATTAAATTCATCCGAAGTGAGAGTGACATGGTTTGTATTGTGTTCAACAGGTTCAGGGTAATAACCTGGTTACCTCACATACTGTATATTATTGTGTTTCACCAACAGCTGCCCCCCTTCTTTCGATTTCCCCTCTCTTTTTTCACACTTTTCTCATCTGCTGCCTCCTCCACTCTCATTTCTTTCCGTTTTCTCTCCCCATTTCTTTATCATGCTCAGCCTCCCATCACTAAACATCTTTATTTCTTTCTGCCTCTTTCTTGCTCCTCGTGCCTGTGTGTCATTCCTTCTCTCTTTCTTGCCCCTTAGCCGCAGTGTCCTTGAGAAAGCAGTGACTTTGCCGGTGAGCGCAGCAGAGCGCATCACTCTCTCTCTCTCTTTTGCTCACATGCTCTCTCACTGACACTCACTCAACCCCCGAAATGCACACACACACACACTCACACACACATGCACACACACACATTTAGTTGGTCCATGGTAACACTGTCAAGCAGAACCAGTCCTTACAAGTCTCTTCCCTTTAGTCTCCATAAATAATTCATCACCAGTAACATTGGCTGTACTTTATGCAAATATTGACAAACATATTGCAGAGAAAAATTGAGACAGTCGTTTCGTGTGTTGAGCACAATTTCTGCCCACTTTCAGGAAACGTATATAAATCGCCAGCAAACTGCTGATACAAGCAAAAATATCTCAAAGTCATGGCACAATATAATGGGTTGTTTTCAAAGCACGTGAAAGAGAGTTATGTGATAGATAGTTTGCTTGATTAATGCTTGTGGCTGCTGATCAATCACACTCCACAATGACATGCTGTGTAAAATAAAAGATGGCACTGTGTCCATTAGAGGAGCTAGATGTAAGAATCGTCCACCGCACTCAAATTCGTATTCCAAACCTATTGGAGGCGGCATATCACCAGAAAGATTGGACGTCCACATCATTATCACCACAGCATCGCTATTTCTTCATCCTCTCATGTTGGAGTGAGGGCAGAATGGATGCTACAGTGACTCACTATCGCCTCTTGAGGTACAAAGTGGTATTACGAGACAGGATGGGCCAGGGCTATCTGGTTAGCAGGTTAGCAGCTAACCTCAGAAGATTTCTCTGCGACATAATACATAGATGTCTTTGAAATAGTATCAGAGCTGTTATTTCTTCACATTCTGTTGATAATTTTAGTACTTACTTATTTTGCAGTGTTTTAAGCTAACATTCGTACATTAAAAAGACAACCTACAAACCAGGGTTTTGGTTTAAGAAAACTGGAATTAATGCTCAAGTTCAATTACTTTTACTCAAGGTTTGTTACCGAATTCAGACAAATTGCCCTCAGGTGATACTGTACTTAGCCTGCCAGCAAGAAAACATGATCCCTATGTGCCCTGCTTCTCATTAAAGGTGCCCTCCGCTAATCTTGGTTCATGAAGGCCCATTGTCACAGTTTTCCGTAGCTTTTGAAATATAGATGGAGTCTGATTGTCTGGTTGTAAGATGAGATGTTATAGTCTCTTGATGCTGTTTGTTCTCATTGGTCTCTGTTTTCCATAGAGTGCGTATTGGGTCACTGCTTTTTCCTGTCGCCTTACGTGTTTTCTTTTGGAGATCAGGTGTCTTGTGGTTACCAAGCTGCACTTCTGTACATGGCAGATGTGTTTTTGTTATTGCGTCCTGAATGGTTAGCACATATGGCAGTCAGTTTGAAATTAAACATACACTGATAAATTAATGTACAATACTTTGCGATCATTTCTATTCTAGTCTTATTTTTTTAATTTAAGTACTATTTTCTATCTCATTACATCTACATCTATTTATCTGCACTTCATGGCAGCATTTCAGTGCAGCCGTGTTATTTCTCTCTCTGACTGTCTCTCTGTGCGTATCTCTCTCACTCTTCCTTATGTTTGTCCCACGTTCAGCTGAAAATGCTTCCGTAGCCATGGCGACCAATCCCAAGGGAAAAAGTTGAGGCTAAATCTCTTTCTCACTCGTCTTCTCCTCCTTTGTCTCAAGCTTTGTTGCAATCTAATGTTTTCCTTGCACACAAACACAGCCGCATACACACTAGCATGCCAGAATCTAAAAGCGGAGGAGATGGAGTTTGTGAGTCACAGTGTTCTGGTTTAAGTTTAATTAAGCACTGATGTAAAATAAGTGACCTAATTGCTGAGAAACACTAAACCTGGGGACAGAGTTGGTGATTTTTCTTTTTGTCTGTTTTCTACAGTTTTCTTGCTTGTTAGTGGCCACGAGTGTTACACTTGAACCTTGGAAAAACACACACAAAAGAGGAGAGGGGCTATTGAAAAAGAAGGAAGATGAAGAGAGGAGGCAGAGTAATTTCATAAGAAGCTCGTGCTTGAAAAAGAGTCTTGTACTGATAAACAGAGTGAGCTGTGAGATGTCAGCTGCAGAAGGGTGTCATCACACATATGTGTATGTAGCCATGTGGGTCACTATGAGGTGCTTGTATGTTTCTGGGCGTGTGTGCTTTCTATAATATATCACTTATTTTTTTATAACTGGTCCTTATTGATTCGCAGCTTGCAACCACGTAAAAAATTTTTTTTTTTAGCTATTTGATCGGTTTATTGAAAAAATAATTAATTAATATAATTCAAATGTAGGAATCTCAGCTTTAAAATAATTGGAATTAGTCTTTAATCTGTAAATGAATTAATTGAATGTGTCATTCATAATAAGTAATTATTCATTATTGAGGACAAGTCCTGTTCTTGTGGCGAGGTAAAGTTTGTTGAATGAATCATTTCAGCCATGGCTTCCCAAGCTCTTCTCGTCTCCCTTCACTTCTCTTCATCCCTCCTTTCTATTCTTACCCTCTGTTCCCTTCACACCCTCTCCCTTGTTCCTTCATCCCCGTCCCTCTCCTGCCTTCCTTCCTGTCCCCACCTCTCCTGCTATTCTTCCTTCGCAGTTCTTGTTCTTCACTATTCCAGTATTTTTCCTCCCTCGTTCTCTTTCTTGAGCCATGAACGCCCATCTTATGGCTCAATTTTTCTTCTCTAAATTAGTCACATTTAAATCTTTTCGCTCACCCCAAACACACATTATATTGCACTTCTCTCTTCACCCTCTCTTTACCACATACTGTAAACCTTTCCTACCTCCTTCAATCTGTTCATTTCTACCCTTATTTTTGTTTCTAACCTCCCTTGCGCCTTTTCTCAATCTCTCCCACTGTACACCCCCATCAATCCCGCCCCTTCCTCTCCTCTCTCCTCCTGTTCCTTCCTTTCTCCCTCTCTGTCC